TCCAATGGTCTGAGGGACAGTGAACTGGCCCCCTGTTTAAAAAGTTTGAGGACCCCTGCTTTATACCTTTGCAACCTGTCCCTTATACATATTAACAAAACAAAGGGTGTTTTGCAGGGCTGGGTGGCTCATGCCTGTAATCCCAGAACTCTGGGAGGCTGAGGTGGGCGGATCACTTGGGCTCGAGTAAGCTAGAGGGAGACCCCATCTCTAAAAATAGCGAGTCATCGTGGTGGGTGCCTGTAGTCCCAGCTACGTGGGAGGCTGAGGCAAGAGAATTGCTTGAGCCCAGGAGTCTGAGGATGCTGTGAGCTATGAAGCCATGGCATCTACTGGGGGCAACAAAGTGAGACTCTGCCTCAAAAACAAAAAACAAAGGGTGTTTTCTTCCTTTAGGAGATGAAGAACCTGAGGTTTAGACCTTACATAACTTGCCAATGCTAACACGATTCTAACTTATTTACAACTAGTAAGAAGAGGCAGAGCTACAAACTGAATCGTGGCCATCTGAATTCCAACCATGCTGTCTCAGTTTACTGTACAGGACATGGCACCAACATAGAGGAGGAAAACGATCTACTTTTGATATTAATGTAATAAAAGAATAAACAGCCTGGGAAATCATTCTCAAGTCTTTAATTAAAATCCACAGAACATTTAACATGTAAAGATGTTTAAACTCTTTCAGTGACTCTTATATTTTAAAAACTTTTGCTCAGCATTGTGAGGCCAACTTCATGCTAGAAATCTACAAATGTACAACTTAATAACACAAAAATACATTCGGAGTCCGTTCCAATGCAAGTTTAAAACATTTTAATTGGCAGACAATGTAAAGATATTTAAAAAACCAAAACTACAAAATGAGCACATAAAAGTCTTCCCTTTTGAATTTTTAATAAAATACTGCTCTGTATAAGATCTAATGAAAAATTCCAGTTACTTATAAAAGTTATATGTGAGAGAAAAGAAATGAATTAAAATATACATGAACACATGAATGAAATACACTTAATTGTTTAAATGAACACTGATGACACAGCACGCCATCTATTACTCATATGTCAAAATAGGTGAAAACACTCTAACAATTGAGTACAAGCAAAAGAAAATACAGATATTTGAGGCAAATAAAAAAAAAATCCCAAAGCCAAAAACAAACACCTAAACCTTAACTGTGAGAGAAAGAAAAGAAGTCTAAAGCAGACTGTGAATCAAACTCCAAATTATAAAACAAAGCCAGGCGTGGTGGCTGGTGCGCACCAGTACTCAGCTACTTGGGAGAGTGAGGGGTGGAAGGAACTCCTGAACCCAGGAGTTTGAGGCTACAGTGAGCTATGATTGCACCACTGCACTCCAGCCCAGATGATGAGAGACCCGTCTCAAACGAAACAAACCAAACCAAAACTACTAAAAGAGCTACAGAAGCTTAATTATTAGGCCTGGGTAGTTTGACAGTATACCAACTGCAGAAAGAATCAATAGCAATGGCTGTACTTCTGGAAATTTATTTTCACAGGTTTACCTACGTAAAAAATGTTATCATTTGGAGACTAGTCTCCTTCACAAATTGCACTTGAGATGGCTGAATGCGCTGATCGAGCAAGGCATTATTATTGGTTCACTGACACACACACACACAAACACAAAAGCAGCTATGGTTGTGGACATTCTTGACTACTAAAACTAGTTCATACTCTTTTTGTTTCTTCTTCTCTCTCTAAAAGAAGGACCTGTGATGTCTGAATTGTTAACATTAAGTCGTCTGCTCTGCTCTGTTGCTGGAGACCTGCTGTCATCTGTTTTAACATTGTCTCTTTACTGTATCCTCTGGCAGAAGATGAAGAAGTCTGATGGAAATATCCAGTCAGTTTGAAAAATATTCATTTCTATAATTTTAAGATTTACCCTGACTAGGAAAGGGAGGTTACTGCTGAAAAGATGGCTTCACTGACAAAGCCTGCAAAACATACACAAGCAATGCTGCCCGTTTCAGTACTATCACTATCTCTAGAAAAATGACTACTGTGATTGACTTTAAAAATAGAGAATGCTTTTCACAGCTGTTCTTTTCAGTAAATTAATTCTATTCTACAGGATAAAGATAATTTGGAAGCAAGACCGTATTAAGACATACAGCAAATTCAATAGAGCTGGGAAAACTGTACATAGTTGCTTTAAAAAAGATGGTCTACATGATGGGAAGAAGTGTGCTAGAACTTCAGTGGAGGTGTGCACGCTATCTCATATAGCAAAGTGAAAATTCGACAATCACTATGAAAAATTATAACCAAAGATGATCAAAAAGTGAGCGAATAAAAAAGACCAAAGACCCTACAGTTTATCTATTTCCTTGAGCTAGAAAGATAATGCTGCAGCTTGAAAAGGCAGTGATGGCATATTCTTATTTAACTGATTTTGTTCTTTTAACTACCTCTCTGCCTTCTCCCCTCAAAGAAGATTTAAACACCAAAAAACCTGTATCAATAGTTCATCTTCATTTTTCTCACCAATAGGGGGAAAAAAAAAACAACTCCAATTTTTACTACTTATCCCTTTGAAAAGCAAGGAAAATCTAAATTGAAACTGAGGTTTCAGAGAGGTGAATTTGGTTTTTCATGCAACTGAGTCTCAGATGTTTAAGACTTTAGTCTACATGTTTACATTCTGTCAAATTATAAAAACTGGAGTGATTAGGTAATGCAGGAAACTGGAAAGAAACAATGAGACTGGAAGGATCAATCTTCAAAATTCACTTAGTTTGCTCAAAAAAGAAAAGACTCACTGAACAAGAATACTAAGCAATAATGTTTCAGGGAGAAAGGACGGTTTAAACAGACTGAAATGCTCCGGATAGTGGAAACGTGAAGCAACTTGGGGAATTTGTCCTTCTGTGCTCTACACGGTCCAGCACTTTCATGAAAAGCAGATTGAATGAGCATGTTTTTAAACTTTGAATAGTGGTCTCAGTTTGCCCCATCTAAAGGGAAAACTTGAAGTTTCCCAGAGTCCAAGTGCTTTTCAGATATGCACTGGATTCCACCTGGCACGACTATCAATGCATCCAGTTTCCTCTACCTCTTACATCCTCCACAGGGAAGGCATATCCCCCATGGAGCTCAGGCTCACATTTTGAATAGTTTAAATGGGGGAACAGAGTATAGCAGAATGCCTGATGACTATCCAGACATTATGGAACTCTCTCTTATTTTACTCTCTCTTTAATATTGACCTTCAGAATAATATGTTAAAGAAAAGGAATGAAAAGAAAACACTTTTACCACCTATCCATATAGTAGTTATCAACTTGCTGTGCTCAAATATTGGGAAGTATCCTCACGGGTTCAGTGGCACTATGTTTACCAACATTTCCCTTTGGAGTTTGCAGAAGATAGCATCTGCTCTTTCCTGTGTTCCAAAACATAGGTGGGCTGTATGCTGTTTACAGAACTGTCACACAGGACTGATGAGGGCACAATTCCTGAATGCTGGAGTTTGTACAGTTAAGCAAAGTGAACATCCACACCTTAAAGTTGGAAGAGGTCACAATAATATTACTGTCACAATTTAACTTTTTCTTTGTGTTACCATGATAGATGTTCCCTTTAAATACAAATAGAAAGTTTATGAGGCAATGAACACTTGTGCTTCATCACTCAAAGTCCCACTACAGACAAAGAAACGAGGAAATAGTGTGAACTGTTGAACATCTGAACCTCAGAAATTAATAGAAAACAAAATCTATTATAAATGACCATAATAAATGATAGATAATAAACATTTATCTTTTACTAAAGGCACTACTAATATACACACATATCCTGCTAACATTTACAGAAACTCTACAATCAGCAGTCAGAGAAAGAAATCCATTTCATTCAATATGAGCACTTTTAAAAACAATTAGATTATTTTAGGACTCATGACAGCGTTTTCAATGAGCTAAATGAAATCAGATATAGTAATAGGCAACTTCATATAAAGACTGTGGTTGCTACTTTTAAAAAGTATAACTTACTTCCTTAAAAATATATGCATATCACAAAAACTAAAAGATATATAATATGTATATATATATATATGTGTGTGTGTATATACATATATATATATATATAGGCCCTGGTACTGCTGATATTTTTACAAATTCTAAAATAATTTGAACAGTTACAGCTTGAACAACACACATCCACACAACATGCAAACACAAAATCCCAGCATCATAGAACAGTTCAGCATAAAGCTAAAAATACAGAATTATAATGAAACAGGCAGTAAATCATGTTACATTACAAACTGATGATTGTACTTGTGTTACAGCACACCTTGGAACTTAAAAAACATTTCGCATTTCTTCAGTCACAGAAAGCACGACACATGGACCAACAGTGGAGCTCTCATAAAAGGTCAGGTATGCAAACAGAAAGGTATACAAAAGAATAACAATTTATTTTCATTAACATGATTAATATTTTATACTTTATTTTACTAGAAGATTAATTCGTAATCATTGTACCCTGTAGATTTTGAAACTTAGTTTTACCAGAAATTACTAATGCTGGTTCTGAATAATCTAAAAAATTATAAATACTCAAATCTAGAATGCTATTTATAGTTCTAAGCATTTAGATGAAATATTCTGATCAGTATTCTAAAGTCGCTTTGGTACAAAATTTAGAATAAAGCAAAACTGGCAGCACCACAACATGTGTGATCATTTCATAGAAGGTCTAAAGGACCCTCATAGACGACAAAGCATAAGTTAAAATACACTTAAATAAGAGCCATTTTCTTGACAAATTTTCTTACATCATTAAACAGAGAAATAAAATCCACATTCAGTAAATTATACTTGAGGCCCAATTTTCATGCTCCATTTAATTATTCCTCAATGATAGTGTAAAAATGGTTATTATTATTGCTAATACAATGTCTAATTCAGATGATTCTAATGAGGCCAATGATTAGAGTGGTACATTTTAATGTTTAGTCCACTGATATTATTTGAATACAAGGTTTAATTTAGTCTTTTTTTAAAACAGATTTATTGAGGTATAATTGATGCACAACAAACTGCACATATGTAAAGTGCACAATTTGATATACAGTCTTCTAAACAGCATGAAAAGTGCCTGACAACTTAAAAATGAAAAAATTTCAATTTAAACATATTACTTTAAAATAGTACATTCTAACTTTTTATGAGACATAGGTTGGATTTATAAAAAGGTAGATGGAAAGAAATTAATTTGATTCCAAGTACCAAATTTATTCAGAAGGTTTAGAAGCGCCAAAATTGACAGCCAGTTTTCTTGATTTTCTTCTTGAAGAGCTTGATGTTGACTTAGGCTGAGACACACTACGGCCTTGAGAAGCAGTTTCAACTTGTAAAGAAGATGCAGCCTGGGCAGTCTGAGAGGACTTTAAGGAAGCTGATGAATTGTCCTGTGGAATTACTTTGGTGACATCAGAAGACTCTAGCTGGCTAGTCTGAAGTGGGGTGGCTTGAGAAGAACTCTGGACCTCCTTGTTCTCAAAGTTCTTTTTGTTTGCAACCCTTTTTTTAGTAACCTTTAAGAAATAAAAGCATATTTAATTAACAATATAAGCAAAAAAAGCTAGTGTCAGAAAATACCATAAACCCTGCTCCTAATATGTCAATCACTGCTTTCTGACTTCACTTACAATTTTCAAACCAAACTTTAGTAATCAAAGAATACAAACTCAGCAAAGACAGGTCAGGCTTGTCATTATTACATTCTCAGTATCCAGCCACTACTGGATTTCTAGGTAGCACGGAACGAGTAATTGAATAAATAAATTTGTATCAATAATCTTTGAGCACTTAAAAAAAAATTCTCTTAAAAAATATCTTTCCAGGTCTCACCTGCAGAGGTATGAACTGAGTGTGCATAGCACTTGGCACTCCCCCAGCCATGGGCATGGTCCCAGAATATAACGCATGATGGAAGGGCTTCCCAGGAACTGGTACTGGTGGTCCCCATGGCATGGAGCCAAAGAGATGAGACGATGAAGGCATTATATTAGCTGTTAAAAACCACAAAAAATTTTCTCTTAGTAAAATGGTATGTAGCATCAAAGCCCTAAAATTTCAGACCTCCTTCTACTGTCCTTTCTTTTTTCCCCCTTTGGCAAATAGCCTATAGATAACTCACAGTACCTTTTGCATTTACATTAACATTTAACCTCAGGAGCCCTTTTAAGAACTGTGAATTATCTATAAAAAAGAAATTAGGCTGGCCTGAAAAGGAAGTAATACCAAAGGCTGACAAGAGCTTTATAAGTGCATATTTGCAATTTATTTTTAAAAACAGTAAAAGGGTCATGAGACTGTCCCTTGTGAGAGAAAAGCCTAGGCACAAAGAAAGAAATCTTAAGGATCTCACCTGCCCCCAATGCTAAGTTGCTTCCATAGTGATCCCAGCCTACAAAAAAACCAAAAAAGCTCAAGTCCTGAAATCTGGTCACTTTCATTTGATAGGCAGAATCGTTCTTTTCCCTATTCTAGTACTTGTAATTCAAAGATTTTTTTTTCATTTACCTTTTCAATTACATTTATTAAAAATGTATTGAATCCATGGTTCCCAAACCTGACTTCTATATCTGAATCACCCGGAGAGCTTGTGCAATATGGGCTTCTGGGCAGGGCCTCAGACCCAGGAAGCCAGACTCTGAGGAGCCCTTGCATCTCTACTGCTAAGTGTCACAGGTGTTTCTTACGCAGTCTGCATCAGCGTAGCATTTGGGAACTACTGCATTCAACAGTGACAATCAAGACACCAGTACAATGAACCTGAAGATATGAACTATGTTCAGGCTACCTTCTCAGAGAGAGAAAAAAGCAGTCAGACCTATAAAATAGTATAGCTTATAATTAAAATTCAGCTACTTGAGCAATTTTTGGATCAGAAGAGAAGACTCACATTTTAGTGTTATGAATTACATATATACAAATTCCAGGATGAAGAAAACTTTAATATGAAAACATTAATTAGAAAACACTCATTGGAAATTAGGATTTGATGCTACCTACAAGCAACTTTGGCAGGAGTCATAATGCTGAGAAGATCTATTTAAAAGATGTTATGTTAATTTTATTTATAGGTCAACTCCACAACTTAATAAATATAAAAACATTTTCCTCCACTTTTTCCCATCAGAATTTTTTATACTATAAAATAGAAATTTAAAAAATAACTTTAAAATGTTAATCTGATGCTTAAGTTGTTTTTTTTTTCCTGATTAACATTCAAATTCTTGGCCCTTATGTATTTAACATATATATTTTTTTTCTTCAGACAAGAGTCTTTGTCACCCTTGGTGGAGTGCCATGGAGTCACAGCTCACAGCAAACTCAAATTCTTGGGCTCAAGTGATTCTCTTGCCTCAGCATCCCAAGTAGCTGGGATTACAGGTACCTACCATAATACCCAGCTTTTCTTTTTTTAGAGACAAGGTCTTGCTCTTGCTCAGGCTGGTCTTGAACTCGAGACCTCAAGCAATTCACCCGCCCCAGCCTCTCAGAGTGCTAGGATTGTAGTCCTCAGTCACTGTGCCTACCCATTTACATGTTTTATTTATTTATTTTTTAAGTTTCAAATAATATGAGGTTATAAATGATTAGGTTACAATGTTTGCGTTTGTTAGGTAAGGTCCCTGTTGTAGTTGTGTTCTGCATCCAGGAGGTGTGCCATATACCCTTACATTGTGCCCACTGAGTGGGAGAACTGTATTCACATATTTTAATAACCTTAAAATTCTTGGCAGGCATGAATAAACTAATCAACACGAAAAAGCTATAAAATATTAATAATAAAGGAGGAAAACAAAAAAAATAACCAAAATTAGGGCAGAATTAAATGAAATTGAAAACAAAAGAATCATTCAGAAGATCAACAAAACAAAAAGTTGTTTTTTGAAAAGATTAACAAAATTGATAAACCTTTGGCCAACCTAACCAGAAACAGAAGAGTAAAATCTCTCTAATATTGTCTATCAGAAATGATAAAAGAGAAATAACAACAGACACTTCAGAAATTCAAAAAATCCTCAATGATTATTATAAAAATCTCTATTCCTAGAAATATGAAAATCTGAGGAAATGGACCAATACCTGGAAGCATGCCACCTTCCTAGACTCAACCAGAAAGAATTAGAAATCTTGAATAGACCTATATCAATCACTGAAATAGCATCAAGAATACAAAATCTCCCAAAAAAGAAAAGTCCGGGACCAGATGGCTTCACATCTGAATTCTATCAAACCTTTCAAGAGGAACTAGTACCTACATTATACAACCTCTTCCAAAGCAAAGAAAAAGAAGGAATACTTCCCAGCACATTTCATGAGGCAAATATCACCCTGATACCCAAACCAGGAAAAGATCCAACAAAAAAAGAAAATTATAGATCTATAATTAATGAATATTGATGCAAAAATATTCAGTAAGATCTTAGCAAATAGAATTCAACAACACATCAAAAAAAATTATACACTGGATGGTGCCTGTGGCTCAAAGGAGTAGGGCGCCGGCCCCATATACCAGAGGCGGTGGGTTTAAACCTGGCCCCAGCAAAAAACTGTAAAAAAAAAAAAAATTATACACGATGATCAAGTTGGTTTTACTCCAGGGTTACACGTTGGTTCAACATACGCAAATCTATGAATATAATACATCACATCAATAAATAAAAAACAAAGACTATATGATTCTCTCAATTGATGCAGAAAAAACCTTTGATAATATCCAGCATTCTTTTATGATCAGAACACTTAAAAAAATGGACATAGAAGGGACATTTCTTTTTTTTTTTTTTTTGAGACAGAGCCTTAAGCTGTCCCCCTGGGTAGAGTACTATGGCTTCACTGCAACCTCCAACTCCAGGGCTCAAGCGAGTCTCCTGCCTCCACCTCCCAAGTAGCTGGGACCACAGGTGCCCGCCACAATGCCCAGCTATTTTTTTTGGTTGCAGCCATTATTGTTGTTTGGAGGGGCCGGGCTGGATTTGAACCCGCCACCTTAGGTGTATGTGGCTGGAGCCTTAGCCACTTGAGCCACAGGCACCGAGCCAGAAGGGACATTTCTTAAACTGATAGACGCCATCTACAGCTAACCCACAGCCAATATCATATTGAATGATATAAAATTGAAAACATTTCTACTCAGATCAGAAACAAGGCAAGGATGCCTACTGTCTCCAATGCTATTCAACACAGTAATGGAAGTCTTAGCCATTGCAGTCAGGCAAGAGAAGGTGATCAAGGGTATCCAAATAGGGTCAGAGGAAATCAAACTCTCACTCTTCACTAATGATATGATCCTATACCTGGAAAATCCCAGGGACTCAACTTTAAAACTCTTAGACGTGATCAAGGAATACAGCAGTGTTTCAGGATACAAAATCAATACTTACAAGTCAGTAGCTTTCAAATATGCCAACAATAGTCAAACTGAAAAAACAGTCAAGGACTCTATTCCTTTTACAATAGTGCCAAAGAAGATGAAATATCTGGGAATTTATCTAACAAAGGACATGAAAGATCTCTATAAAGAGAACTATGAAACTCTGAGAAGAGAAATAGCTGAAGATGTCAGCAAATGGAAAAACATACCACACTCATGGCTGGGAAGAATCAACATCATTGAAATATCCATACTACTCAAAGCAATCCACAGATTTAATGCAACCCCTATTAAAGCACTATTGTCATACTTTAAAAAACTTGAAAAAACGGTACTTCATTTTATATGGAATCAGAAAAAAACCTCGAATAGCAAATACATTACTCAGAAATAAGAACAAATCAGGAGGTATCACGTTACCAGACTTCAGGCTATACTATAAATTTATAGTGATCGAAACAGCACAAAAACAGAGTGGTAGATTTATGCAACAGAATAGAGAACCAAGAGATGAACCCAGCTGCTTATTGTCATTTGATCTTCGACAAGCCTATCAAAAATATTTGGTAGGGGAAAGACTCCCTATTTAACAAATGGACTGGGTGAATTGGCTGGCGACCTGTAGAAGACTGAAACTGGACCCACACCTTTCACCATTAATGGAATTGATTCTCACTGGATAAAAGATTTAAACTTAAGACATGAAACTATAAAAATACTAGAAGAGAGTGCAGGGAAAACACTTGAAGAAACTGACCTGGGAGAATACTTTATGAGGAGGACCCCCCAGGGCAATTGAAGCAACACCAAAAATACATTACTAGGTTCTGATCAAACCAAAAAGCTTTTGCACTGCCAAGAGCACAGTAAGTAAAACAAACAGACAACCTTCAGAATGGGAGATTTTTGCAGGTTATGCTTCTGACAAAGGTCTGATAACTAGAATCTACAGAGAACTCAAACTAATCAATAAGAAAAGAACAAATAACCCCACAACTATGTGGGCAAAAGACTTGAACAGAAACTTCTTTGATGAAGACAGGTGCATGGCCTACAAACACATGAAAAAATGTTCATCATCCTTAATCATCAGAGAAATGCAAATCAAAACCACTTTGAGATGTCATCTAACTCCTGTAAGATTAGTCCACATTACAAAATCCCCAAACTACAGATGTTGGTGTGGATGCAGAGAAGAGAATGCTTCTACACTGTTGGTGGGAATGCAAACTAATAGGACCTTTTTGGAAAGAAGTTTGGAGAACACTTAAGAAACTAAAAGTAGACCTACCATTCGATCTTACAATTCCTCTACTAGGTATATACCAGATGATCAAAAATTATTTTGCAAAAAGACATTTGCACTGGAATGTTTATTGCAGCCCAATTCATAATAGCCAAGACATGGAAACAGCCCAAGTGCCCATCAACCCATGAATGGATTAACAAATTGTGGAATATGTACACCATGGAATACTATGTAGCCATAAAAAGATGGGAGACTTCGTATCTTTTATGTTTACCTGGATGGAGCTGGAACATATTCTTCTTAGTAAAGTATCTCAAGAATGAGAAAAAAAGTATCCAATGTACTCAATACTACTATGAAATCAATACATAATCACCTACACCTTTTGCCTCATATGAATGGCAAAATGTAACTATAGTCCAGAAAGTAGAAGGGAAGAAGAGAGAGAGGGGAGGGGAGGGAGGATATGGAAGGAGGGAAGGTATTTGGAAGGACCTCACCTAATGTGCATGATGTATTGGTACATTTCAAAACTATTAAGAAATGAGTATAATTGTGATGCATGTGTTACTTAGGTCAATGTAAGCATTTCACATTGTATATCCAAGCAGTACCCTGAACCCCATAAATGCATAAATGTACAAAGTTATGAGTTAATAAAAAATAATAATAATAAAATAAAAAAACCCCAGCAAATGTTCTGGAAGGAAACATACCAAATTAATTCCCAAAGAAGACTGGATTGAAAATGGTAGTCAATATTTTCTATTAT